GTGTGCTCTTCCGATCTTTTTTATATTGTAAACTCTGTAATGGATACGATATTTTTAATTACAGTCTAAGATAGAAGTATTAAAAGTTCCTAGATTGAAAATACCGCGTAAAAATTAAAAAAAATCCTGTTTACTTTAGAATCTTCGTTTATCAAAGCATGCACTTTCATCAAATCTCTTCATTGCATAATTCAATTCATATTGATCTTTTGTTTTTTTATATAAAGATATATACATATAAAGAGATCTATAGATTTCATTTATTATATGTACGTATTTTAAAAAGTTAATTAATTAATTAAAGTAATGACATTTTCTTATTTTTACTGTATCAGAACGTTTCAGAGTGTATTAAGGTATTTTAGAGTGAGGTGGGAGTGGGGGTGGGGGTGGGGTGGAAGTGATACATGTGAGTGGGTGTAAGTGTAGTACGTCATACAGGGACGAAATGGAATGTATTGAGACTTTGTTGTGGGCGGAGGGGGGGGGGTGAAAGTGTTGGCACGAATAGCGTAGGAGATGAGGGTACATATATAGGGTGCTTGGGGGTTTGTGTAGGCGTATACGAGTAGTGAAAGTCGGTTTACACCCGAACACCACGAACTCGGACACCGGGACGACATTTCTTACATATATTTTACCCCATCTCACTACCATATCTCTTGATTATCGCGGAGCCTATAAGCCGTATAGTATAGCCGCACGAAGCGAAGGTCCGCGCGTGTTAAATGCGGTTTTAAATCTTCTCATTTACAAATTGATAATTATACGGGAAATAGATTTCCGTAATTGCCGCTATTGATTTTCCTGAAGTATTGATTTTTCGTACAGCCGACTCGACACAGAGCCAGTTTCTTTAACTGGATCTGCAACGGGGATAATATAATAAAAACGCAACGATTCTATTGAATATTCCCGTTTGCCCGCCAATTGAAATACGATATATCGAGTTATATTGAAATATGATATCGAAAGTGAAAATTCGTGCGAATTCTTTTCTTGCAATTATCGCCTCTTTTTTTCGATTTTGTTTGACGCTCCGATTTTATAAAATATATACGTGTCGAAATTTATCAAGCAAAAAATTCTATTAGTTTTTTTTATTTTTGTTATACGTTATTATCTCGTATAAGACAGTCAGAATTTTTTAAAGCAAATTCCATTCTCGGTTCTTAAGAATAATTAAATTACTGTATGTACGTAGATTTCGAATTTTCCAATACATTCTTACGTGAACATTGCCGTTAACACACACGTGGAATATGCAACACTTTGCCGCTAGAGGGTTAACGGGATAGAACACATATTCTGCATTTTTCACGTTTCTCGTTAGTGCTCGTTGAACGACGTTTCGCTATATATACATCCTTCCTGATATCATAAGGTAACACGAAGTTCCCTCGGGAAACACCGCGGAGCCACAATCGGAGTCTGCAAATGACTCTTATCGCTCTGAGGAAAGTCCCTGGACCCGTGGCAGAAAGTGCCGTAGCTTAAAATTTGGCTATTATCCTCCGTCGTCATCCGCGAGTCTCAGGAGAGGAAGCTTCGGCCGATCCTTCGCGATGGACGCGAGAGTATTTGTCAAAGAAAAGTAATGTGTGTTGGAACGTTCTGCTTCTTCTGAAAAGGAGGAGCAGCGCGTTGAACTCAACAGGGCTTACCGTACGAGGAAACTTCGACCTTTTTATTTTTTATTTTTTCAAAATATTATCAAATACAGCGAGTCTTATTAACTTCATATTGAAAATTCCATACTATTCTGTGTGAAAAACTTATTATGTATTTAACATATGTTAAAAAAAATTAACTGGAAAACGTGACCACAAATTTTCTCAATAGATATTAAATATAAATGCAGGTATTACCGACAAGAAATTAACTTATTTCATTAAATTATATTATTTAACAAACACAAAATGATTAAATAAAGGCCAAGAAACGAGCAAATTATAAATATTTAATTTGTTCGTTCCTTGACCTAACTTGATTTAATCATTTTCTGTTTGTTAATTTTACACGAGCGATTTCTTTGTAATTAATTAGTTATTTAAACTGTTATATGAAAGTTCGCGTGATTGTTACTTATAATTTATATATGTATTTATATATAACTTATAATTTATATTATTATTATATTATTTATTTATAACTTATAATTATTTAATATAATACTTATATATAATAATTATATATAAATTTATATACATATAATACTTAATTATTTATTATATAATATTTATTATTCCTAATGTTTTCATATAGTACATATATTTAGAAATCAATAATTTTCAATTTCATTTTAAAACCGAAATTATATATTATATTGTCATTATGAATGTCATCGATCGGATGACCGGATTTGAGATTTATTCATGGGACGTCATTTATACCGATATAGTCGAATTATCCATCGTCGATAATGTCATAAAACATCTTCAATTATCCACGGATCGGCCACGACCGCTCGGTCCACTTCTCCCTCCGGAGTAGTCCGAGTCCTGGTTCCGCGAGGCGCCCTCTTCGTGCCTCCCTTCCCTTCACGCCGCCGTTTAATCGCGGTGTTGCGCGATGTTTCGTTACGAGTTCCGTATCCCGCAGTATTGATGATTTCCATTTTAGGAAATCCTGCCCGTTTCACCTTAGCATGATCACGAAACAGCCGGGCTCGGGATTCGCGCGGACACTCAAAGGGTCTGTCAAGGTTGTCCTTATAATCGAGGGCGCGCTGTTCCTAGGATCATACGGACTTTGGCGTTGCCTCAACACTTCGCAAGGTGAATTGCTCGCATTCTCTAGCCTGGTTAAAGAGACTCGGCCTCCTCCCGTTCCCGGACCTGCTCTCCTCGCCCTATCGAGTTAACGCTACTCTCGACCCGCTTACTCGAGTAATTTTAATCCACCCGGACTCATTCTTGATTCACCATCGCGTTACGCCTGCCGTAACTCGAGCGAGGATGACGTGAACGGAGGAAACGAGTACAGTTGAAAAAAAAGATCTCTCGGTTACTTCCCATTTGCGGCGTCCGGCAATAAATAATAACGAAATCGCCGAGGTGTTTTTTCCGCGTGAATTTGCGCTCGCACAGCAGGGATTAAATACTGCGAATAGATGCTGCAGAGGTCAACTTATCCCCCCCTCCCCCGCGAGTCGCTTTGACACGATCGGATCGTGCCATTCGGTCTCTCTAAATTCTACGCTCGTCAGATTTCAGATATTACATGCGCCAACATTTCCCAAACATATTGGAGGGTTACTACATGCTCGGGGAACAGTTGTCTGGCAACGATCACATAAGGACGTTCGATTACAAGACCTGGATGGAGCAGCGCAATGAGCATTAAATCTTCATGGCGGCGTTTCTGAGGCTCACGGTGCTCTCGGTGGTTCTCGGCGGTGGATTGGGATACGGTCTGCTTTACCTCGCTACCAACAACCAATCGGATCTCGCAGAGGTAATCATAATTATGTAATTGCCAAGCCATATAACAGACGAAGTTTTTTTCCATTGCTTTATACGAGAGCTGGTAGCAATGGTATTCTTTTTCTCAATGGTGCAATGTATTTTTTGATAAAGAAAACCAGTCGATGATATTTAATGAACATTACGAAAAGAATTTTGCAGAGTTTTCTCTGTCTATTTTTAAGGTAGCTAATGAAAGAAATAATTTAAATCGTCCTCTTATTTGCGATTAAATTATTTCAGCATCTCTCGTCGCGACGTACCTTGTCGGAGAAACACAGCCTTTTCAATCCGTTATACAAGAAATCTGACAAATTGATGAGCCAAGAGGGGTCAAGCAACGTTAGTTACAAGGACTTCGTGGCTCAAAGGAACGCAAACGAAGGCGCTGAGAAATAGCATTCGTAGAACTGAAAAAAATGGATCCCACGGAGTTTATAGAGGAGAGTCTACCGGATCGTATCACGAAGAGGGATCGGGAGCGGAAGAATGTCATCGAGAGGCGGAGGGAGGAGCGGCAGTCGCTCGCCGTGGAGTCCGAGCAGAGTGGCTACTTCAAGGACACGTTTTACTCCACCTGCAAGAAGATCAAGGACATGCTGGACAACGCACCCGGCGCCACGTCCACGGCGTTGCCGGGGATCTTCGAGAAGTCGAACAAGGAGATCCAGCTGCTCAAGAACTACCTGTCGCAGTCGAAGATGTTTCTGAAGGTTTACGACATAAGGCGCGCGCAGGAGAACCTGCAGTCGCTGGAGGGCCAGGCCTCCGAGCTGGAGATGAGGCTGCTGCCGAAGAAGAAGTTCGGCTTCAAGAATCGTCGAATCGTGAAGAAGCCCGCGGACAAGGGCCACGACATCACGGACGGCCTGAAGGATCTCAAGATATCCGAGAGCATCGTGAACGGCTCGACGAAGCAGAACAACAAGTTATCGAGCAAGTACGGGGACAGTGCCTGCATGCTCCTGGGCAAGGTGAACGAGCGAGTTGTGCTGGACGCCGAGAATGTGAATAAAAATGACATTCTACTTTCCGATCTGGTTCGCTGTACCGTGCGGATATACGGTACGCCGAGCACCCTGCACATGGTGAACCTGAAGCAGTGCACCATATTAGTCGGGCCGGTGACGTCCTCGGTTTTCGTGCACGACTGCAGTGACTGTGTATTCGCATTCGCGTGCCAGCAGCTGCGACTGCACTCGTCGACGGACTGTACCATTTATTTACACGTCACAAGCAGGGCGATCATAGAGGACTGCACGAAGATACGTGTAGCACCTTACAACTGGTCCTACGAGGATCAGACGAGTCACTTTAATCTAGCCGGCCTCGATCCAAAGATTAACAATTGGAACTGCATCGACGACTTCAATTGGCTATCTAGTGAAAAACATTCGCCGAACTGGTCGATTCTCGAACCGGAGCTTCGGGTGAAAACGTGGGATTGAAAACGAATGAAACTTGTAAAATAAAGAGGAACAGAGCAATTAAAAAAAAAACACAGAGTCGTAGCGAAAATGTTTTCACGGAACCTGATTTCTTCTTTCTCCGAAGTCGATTTATTTACGTTAAATAGATCATCTACATATATATCGTGCTTTTTCACAAGATGCAAGTTATATATGCAAAGTTTTATATACTTACGATATCTAATAAATTTACTGTTTGTGCAATATACAGGGTGCCCTATTTTACAAGTCACACCTAAATAACTTTGGAAAGACGACTATATCCATAGCCATGTCATGTGAGGGAAAAATTCATATGGTTTTCAAGAAGGTAAAAGTTCTTTTATACAACTCTTTTCAAAGTTATCTGGGTTTGCTTTTTAAAATGGGACCACCCCTTTATATACATACAAACATGTACATGTTGCGTTTTTGCGTTTTGCTTATCTTCCAATATGAGGAATCGAGCTATCCCGTTTCGTTTAAAAAAATATATATATTGGATGTTAATACATTATAATCTTATGTACACAAATCAGATATTAATAATTGTTTATTTAATTTGAATTTGACTGCGGACAAAGTATATTAAAGTTCGATTGCATATATATTCACTTATATTTTTCATCGCTCTATTTCTTTCTAACGGCATTGCGGATATAATTAAGTATACAATTTAGCTTAAATTTAAAATTAACGTATTTATAATCAGGGCTGGGCAAAATACACCATTAAAATATTTAAAATACAAAATACTAGAAATCTTAGTATTTGAATTACAAAATATAAAATACTTTCAATCTTTTGATTTGAAATACAAAATACTTTCAATCTTTCGATTTAAAATACAAAATACTTTTAAGTTTTTATTTGAAATACAAAATACTTTTTAATTTAATCTTTCAATTACAATAATATATAATATTAAACTCCCCGCTTCAACAGGCCCCTCTCTCCACTTTTAGAGAGAGAGAAAGAAAAATTATTTTACTCTCTTACATTTTTTAACAGTTCTGTATCAATCACACGAGAAATCTATTTACTAATGTGAGATTATGAAATTTGACTCTGATGACTTGATATTGCTGGAAACTTGACGACAATAATTAGTGTCATATGAGAAAAATTTAAGTTACTCTTAATGATTATCAAGAATTTTTATCAATAATTTTTTTAGTATTTCAAATACAAAATAGATTGAAATTGTATTTAAAATACAAAATACATTAAATAATTTATTTGAAATACAAAATACAAAATACAAATTGTATTTCAAATACTGTATTTCAAATACAAGTATTTGAAATATGCCCAGCCCTGTTTATAATTAATATGTATATATATAAAATTTGCTATTGCATTTTGTTCCAATGTCAATTTCGAAATGCGCTCCACGCATTTGCCACGACAATTAAATCTCGCGGAGCAACAATCATAATTGTGCACAATATGGCGCATCTCGTGCGCATCGTGCCGAGGATAACCACGAGCAGCAGCACCCAATCCAGTTGCTCCTTAGCCCGTGACTATTGGTCGCCGTACCGCGATCTGTCAAAAGAACGGTTAACCATCGCTCGTGATGTCATTTTCGGTACCGCCTGAGGTACGCGGCGGAGATACCTCGACGGCTGGAACGAGATACGGGAATATCTGGTAAAGTCACAGGTTTCATGGCCCTGATATTTATTATGCGTCATCGCCGAAAGAACGAGGCGATAAACACCAGAGATATCAGTCCCGTGTAACGAGGTGTGTTTTTTTTTTCACGTTGAAAGGATCCTCACGGGACTGCGAAACGTGGACGGTGCGACGCGGAGAAAATAATCTGGCAGCGTCTTCGGTTGGGCCTGTAAAGTTCGCCGTTCGTTAAGAAGCATATCTCGAGTGTCGAGCACCCGGAGTTTTGAAAGCGGTCGCACGGACGAGCTGCACGTGAATTGAGATATGGGAATAGCGTAGTGCGATTAACCTGTCTAGGAAAACAATTTGTAATTGCGACGAGCGTCGATTGCAATTTTCACAAGGTGTGCCTCGAGGTGTCTCTTTCGAGACATATTTTTATATTTACATATTTAATCTTGCGTATACAAATCAGATATTAACAATTGCATTTATTTAATTTAAATTTGCGGAGTATATTAAAGTTCAATTGCATGTGTATATTCACTTATATTTTTCATCGCTCTATTTCCTTCTAACGGCATTGTGGATATAAATATAAATTTAGATCAAAACGTGTACCTTGCATCATAAAGTTCGTTTAACACACGCGAGTTCGTTGTGCTTTTATTTGTGTTTGACATGCCACGACTTTCCAGCACCATGGAGTGGCTATTCGGCAAGCGTATCACTCCCGAGGAGATGCTCAGGAAGAATCAGAGGGCGTTGAACAAGGCGATGCGGGATTTGGACAGGGAAAAAATGAGGATGGAGCAGCAGGAGAAGAAAATTATAGCCGATATAAAGAAACTCGCGAAAGATGGACAAATGGTAATTTCTCAACTTCTCTTGGCTTGCACATTTATTTATTATTACATTGTCCTGTTCAAATTGACTATAGGATGCTGTGAAAATTATGGCCAAAGACCTGGTCAGGACAAGGCGTTACGTGAAGAAGTTCATGTTGATGAAGGCGAATATTCAAGCGGTGTCGCTAAAAATACAGACTCTACGTTCCCAGAACACGATGGCGCAGGCCATGAAAGGAGTGACCAAAGCGATGCAAAATATGAACAAGTAGGTGCAATACGATCTGTCGGTGTTAATAATTTTGTTTTATTATCGAGACAATCCACTTGTGTTTGTTAGAACTGAAGTATAATTAATAATTTATGTAGTATATTCTGAAATATTAATTTAATTTTTGTTTTTTGTAGACAAAAATCTACACAAAACCATCTTAAATATCTCCTGTGTATATACGTCTTAATGTTTATTTTAATATCTAAATTAATTACATGTTATTCATCAGCTATTATATCCTACATATAATATATAAATAATTTAAATCTTTATATTTCTATTTTTTTTATAGACAACTGAATCTACCACAAATACAGAAAATATTACAAGAATTTGAGAAGCAGTCAGAGATAATGGATATGAAGGAAGAAATCATGAACGACGCGATAGACGATGCGATGGAGGATGAGGGAGACGAAGAAGAAAGGTAAGCATCTTTATGTATAATACGTAAATTTTGTGTGTAAATTATTGGACCTTCAATCAAATGTAGATTCGAAAAATTATAAAATATCAGGGTCGCCACAAATTCTTCATTCTAAAATTTCATGACTTTCCAGATAAAATTTCATAATTTTCCCTGACTTTCAATAATATTAAAAAAATTTTTTATGTTTGTTTGATTTGAAAACTATTTGGAAACTGTTAAGTATTTTGTTAAGAAGGCAATTTAACATAGCAATGTAAATTACTATTATTGTTGACATTGCTTGCACTTAATTGTTAAGTTGTTAGTATTTCTTTATCTTTTTCTTTTATATGTACGCACAATTCTTTTCCTCTGCTTACAATACAAAAAACATGTAAAAATAGATTCTTTTTGATAAAAACTAAATCCTAGTTATTGGAATCTCCGACCTGCTATTATACAAAGATTTACAAACTTGAAAGAAGAATTACAAAAATATGAAATCAATTTTAATTTTATTAATTTGTTCACAAGTGACACAAGAAACTTAAAAGTAAAAAAAAAGGTTTAAATAAATTTAAAATTTCAACAAAAAGTAGACAAGTTGAAAATTCCAATGCTCTCAGCATTTTAAACCCTATTAAAAAGAGAATTACATTCTTACATTAGCTAGCAAAATTTTATAAGTGTGTGATAAACGCATATTAAATTTCTTTAAATCTAAGAATTTTAATTTTCCAGAAAATTTTGTAAAATTCCCTGATTTTTCCTTGATTTTCATGACCATTTTCAATTTCCCTGACTTTTCCCTGATTTCCAGTTTTGTGGCAATCCCCTCAATATGTATCTTTCATTTATGTACACATCGACGTTTTATTTTTCCCCAGTGATGCTGTAGTCGCACAGGTGTTGGACGAGCTGGGTCTGCAGTTGACGGATCAGCTCTCCGGACTACCGCAGGCGTCTGGATCGCTGAGTGTAGCCGGCTCCAAGCAGCCGGTCGCCGCTGCGGCGGGTGGCAACGAGGAGGGCGGGGGAGGAGGCAATCTTGCGGACGCCGACGCGGATCTGCAAGCCAGACTCGAGAATCTGCGACGCGAATAAATCGAGACTTAAAATATTTACTAGGTAGCTAGGCAATGTATAAAGAGTGTAAAAAGAATTGGCTTTATATTTAGCGAAAGAGAGAATATAGCTTCAAAGGAATTCGTTCCTGCCGCAAAATGCGCGTACACTTAATGTACATGAATTTAAACGAAAAAGAATCTTGTCTGCATACAATTTTCCTGAACGATCAATCTTCGTATTTTCTATGCACGTTGAATTTTATATGCTTCTATACAGAACTTTCCTGTGTAAATGCCTAAGTTCGTAATACAGATATATATATATTGACATATACAAAAAAGATGCTATATAATAAAATATACGACGTTAGAAACATACTTCTTTTGAGTCACGCTTGATTAATTTTCTTAATTTCTTTTCATTTATGTTAACTACAAAACGCAAAGAAACGCGGAGAAAGAAAAGAAAAAAGAGAGAAACGTTTGCGTTTTGCGTTTGCGAAAAAAAACTAATAACTAATAACTTCATGACCTGCGGGCGTCAGTAATAACATATATTAGAAAAGATTGTTTATAATCACATAACTCTGTGGGGTACGGTCGTGAACAAATAGGTTGCGACACTTTTTATAGGTTTCTAATATATTCAATACATATAATATATATTTTGTATAGGTAACTAATATTTTGCGAAAGCGAACCACGATTGATGTACTATCTTTAGTCTAGAGACAGTGCACCAATCATAGCATTTGCAAAATATTAGTGCGTTCGAAATCTATAAAAAAAAAAGTGTCGCAACCTATTTGTCCACAACCGTACGAATGGCTCGGTTTACGAGCACGTTGCTTCGTATTTGACGGTCCCGAGGCCTCTTACCTCACGTATACTTCGATTTTATGAGGTTTATTAGAAATGTAATTTACAACCATTACTATACTTTCTATATGATTACTATTGCGCTATAATTTGAGATTCTTATGATAAAAAAATTAGTATGAGTTATAGATTGTCATATCTTGGTGATTATATATATCAGCGATGCACGGGTCAATTAATTTTTTTGCGATCCGCCGGCTCATAGCCGAAAATATAAAATACTATTCTTTATTATACGGTTCGCAAGCTTTGATTAATTTGAAAATAATATGTACTAAATTGATATATACAGTTTTTATTGCATTTTTCAGACGGCTTACAGCGATTTCCATATATGTTCTTAGACAGATATAATTTGTCAAGTTCTATATTTATTAGTAGTATGTAAATGAGCCTTTATAATGTTTTGTAATTTTATTTCATGACTAAAGAAGAGAAAGAGATCTTAGCTAGAGAAATCCCACAATATAAATTTATAAAAATTTCAAATATCTCCTATACACAAAATCATCTTAAATATCTCCTGTGTATATACGTCTTATAATAATATTTATTTTAATATCTAAATTACATGTTATTATCAACTATTATATCTTACATATAATAATTATATATAATTTAAATGAATAATAATAAAATAAAAATATTTGGCGTCGAATAATAGGCGCACAAATCAGCGCGAACCTTTCGAAACGCATCGCTATCACAATTCTTTGAAAGTTCCAAAAATGTTTATATATTCGATTATAAATTTCCAACGTCTTGCCACCAAGTATCGCGCTCCCACTGTATCCGTTCCAATCGCGACGACTGAGAGGCTGGGGGAGGGGAGGGGGGCTGAATATAACGAGGTCGACTATCGTAGCGGTAACTTATCGACGTGGCCCTCATTCGCGGCGCAGCGATGACTTGCAGCAATTCTCGATATCGGCGACACCGCGGGACGTTCGCCGCGCGCCGGCCGACATTCATGCGTTAAAATTAACAGACAGAAGTGTAGGCGCCCACGGACATTTCCCCGATCGAGAAATCGGCCCGCCCGACGCACGTGTGGAGAGCGGTGGGACGACATGCCAGGGGATGAGAGAGAGAGACGGGGAGTAGCTACGGTGACCGAAGGAAGGTTTAATTGAGACTCGAATCGAGACTCGGACGGACGTGGAGGATCGACGTGCCGCGGCGGCACCACCGCGGGCTAATGATGTAACGGGGTTATAATCGCGCTCGTCGTGAGAACGGTTTGTCACGATCGCCCTTTGGACGATACGTACGCGCACGATACGTGTGCCACCACCACTGTACGTTTACGCTGTCGCGGAAAAAATAGCACGTGGCGTCGAGATAGTCCCCTCGACGGCCTTCGACGTCGAGCGCGAGCGGATCGGTCGAACCTTGCCGCCGGATGACTGGCAGCGTCTCGAGGAGGACACGCCGAGGCTACGTGCGAGATCCACGGTGGTCCCGTCTCGCGCGATAAACGGATCAACAATCGGGACATGATACACCGCAGCCGGGCGGAGGATCGTCACGTTCGGTAGAGCGTCGTTCAAATTTACCGTTTTACAAAACGGTACGTATATGCATATTCACGTCTCGGTGGCAACGTGTCACTTCCGAAAGAATTAATGTACTCTTCCAGCCAGAAACGTACACAACTTCACCCTTCGCCCGCTCACTGTCCACTTTTTTCCAGACCACCGGCTATATTCCTGGTCGAAAGCGGCAGCCCTCTCGGCGAACAAGATGAGTGGCTCACAGCTGCAGACCAATTTGATCGCCGCCGCTATCGGGGCGACTATCGGCGTCATAAGCGCGGCCAGTATCTTTATTTATCAGAAGGTGTTGGAGAAGCAGCAACGCGCCATGAAGAACGCCCACCTGGACGAAGTCGATCGTCGCCTCACCGAGCTGCAAACGGAATTGGAGAGATTGAGGTAAAACGGCGAACGCCAGTTTGCTCATTGATATCTCAAGATGTACGGGATGTTCCTAAAATATATTTGGTTGAATTCCAATCTATTCTGTTAACTATTGGGTACATTAGGTATTAATGGTTTTACAGATATTGTGATTTCTCTGCTGTTGTATAACTCGCAGTGTCAACAGGTTGAAGGAACACATTTATATTTTTGCATTTTTCGTCGCAATGATTGACAAAGTCTTACAAATGTCTCATAGGAATGCCTTACGTTTTTGTTCAATTCATTTATTTTGTTAACGATTGATTAGATATTAATGGTTTTACGGATGTTGTAATTCTTCCACTGTTGTACAACTCACAGTGTCAGCATATTGAAGGAACACATTTATATTTTTCATCGCAATGATTGCCCCAAAGTCTTACAAATATATTACAGGAATTCTTTACGTTTTTGTTCAATTCAATTTATTTTGTTAACGATTGATTAGATATTAATAGTTTTACGGATGTTGTAATTCTTCCGCTATTGTACAACTCGCAGTGTCAGCAGGTTGAAGGAACACATTTATATTTTTGCATTTTTCATTGCAATGATTATGTCAGTTTTACAAATGTATCATAGGAATTCCTTACGTTTTTGTTCAATTCAATTAATTTTGTTAATGATTGATTAGAAATCAATAGTTTTACGGACGTTGTAATTCTTCCACTGTTGTACTCGCAGTGTCAACAGGTTGAAGGAACACATTTATATTTTTGCATTTTTCGTCGCAATGATTGACAAAGTCTTACAAAAGTCTCGTAGGAATGCCTTACGTTTTTGTTCAATTCAATTTATTTTGTTAACGATTGATTAGATATTAATGGTTTTACGAACGTTGTAATTCTTTCACTGTTGTACAACTTGCAGTGTCAACAGGTTGAAGGAACACATTTATATTTTTACATTTTTCATCGCAATGATTGCCCCAAAGTCTTACAAATGTCTCGTAGGAATGCTTTATGTTTTTGTTCAATTTATTTTGTTTACTATTGATTAGATATTAATAGTTTTACGGATGTTGTAATTCTTCCGCTGTACAACTTGCAGTGTCAACAGGTTGAAGGAACACATTTGTATTTTTGCATTTTTCGTCGCAATGATTGACAAAGTCTTACAAATGTCTTGTAGGAACGCCTTACGTTTTTGTTTAATTTAGCTTCGTCAGTAGTGTCTAATCTCTATTATTTTTAGAGCACAACAGAATCAACAGCGAAAGAAGAAGAAGCTCAATTCTAAACGTGATAACGAAAATACGTACACTACAACGGACAATGATACCGATGTAGATGGCTTTTCGACGGCGGGCGACGAGGAATTTTTCGATTGTTCGGACAGCGAAAATGGTATAAGCGACATCGAAAACAGGTCAGTTTAATATCTACACTATCTGTCGGGCATCGCGGTAATCGCGGCGGTAAATTTGGTTTAACGAGCGGCATTGTTGCAAATAAAATCGACTATTTTGAATCGAAGAAAATCCACTTCCACTTGAGCGCACAAGTTCACTCTGCACGCTTCTTTTTCGAATTATGTTTGCCTGCTTGAATTTTGTTCAGTTCGCTTCGTTCTTTATCGCACTTTGTAACTCGAAACTTAAACGGGAAAGATTATACGCTTAGTGATGCAGGACAACTGAAGCCACCTGCCTTGGATTAGACCTTTCCGTGTTCGATGCGCGTTACCAACAGGGTGGACATGAGGAAGACGATTACCTCGAGCTACGTGGTCTCGTAGACATGTATCCAGATAACGTAGACATAGTCTGGAGATATGCCAGAAGTTGTTACAAATATTCAAATTGCACCACCACTGACGCAAATGTAAGAAAAGCTGTTATTTGTGCAGGTATATAATTAAAATTACATATATATACACGTATACCGTGTCGTTATAAGGTGCTTTCCATTTAGTGACACAAGTCGACACAACAGTATCGTTGTATCTTTGTTACTCATTAAATGCCAAGGAGGATAGAATGATATTTGTGTCGACTTGTCACCAAATGGAAAGCACCCGTAATGTCACCAATTTGAGCAGAGCACTCAGCTTGCAAACGTAATCCATCGTTTTCCAGGAATTGACGCCTGCGAAAAGCTTCTCGCTACACCGAATGCGGATCTGCACAAATGGTGCGCTATACTTGTGGGCGTGAACGGTGATTTTCTGCCGATAGCGGACAAGATAAAGAACGGGTTTCGTTTCAAGGAGCACGTGATAAATGCCTTGGAGATATGCCCGAGTGATGCTGATCTGCATCACCTGCTCGGCAGATTCAGATACGAGGTGGCTAACTTGGGTTGGATAGAAAGAAAGGTATATGTTTCGTTGTGATAATTTCCGAGACAGAGCGTTCTAATTACGTGCGATTGGCCGCTTGTTAATCAAGATTGACAGCTAAAAAAAAACCGTACTTAATAAAGTAAACAATACTACAATTGAGTTTTTTTTTTTATTTAGGTTGCTGCGACATTATTTTCCGAGCCGCCAAGTGCCTCGTTCGAAGATGCGATTGACAGCTTCCAGAAAGCGGAGGATTTCTCAGTCAAAGTAAATCTGGAAAACAGGCTGTTCCTAAGCAAATGTCACATAGCACTGGGCAACTATGAACCGGCCTGTCAGTTGCTGGAGAAGATTTGCAACATGTCGGTCACGAACGAAGACGACGAGAGGGTGCAGGGCGACGCGCGTGAACTTTTCGCCAAGTACTCGAGATACCAATAACGGAAGCGTTTTATAGATCTGAGAGACTGTATCCATTCCAATATATTACAACATTAATCTCGCGCGAGGGAATTGCGTAAGGAATTCGCAGCTAAATCTGTGGGCGGGGGAGGGAAAACGGTATAAGTAATTCTAATTGTAGGGAGGGAAGTACACGGACAATTTTATCATAGATAAACTTTTATATGAAACTGTATAAAGTAACCTACCACTTGTCTTTAGAGATGAAAAAGATACAAAGCGACGCGGGATTGTTTTAGAAAGTAACTTTGTGATGAGAGATACATTTTAGAATTGCCATTTTATTGTATAAATATTGGGCCTACCACGTTTATTCTATTCGTTTATTCTATTATATAGACATACAAATTTATTATGTTGGTTTTATCTATTGTCTGTTTCCTAATAAATGATGCAACATGATAAATAAACTGTTGAGCATAGTTATTCTACGGTTAAAAGTTTTCATCAATGATCACATCTCTCTTCCTTTGATCCGTGGAGAGCTCTCCTCTCTGTCTTTTCTATCTCCCTTTCTCTCTCTCTCTCTCTCTCTCTCTCTCTCTCTCTCTCTCTCCTACATATATTTTATTTCGCAAGTATATATAGTGAAATGACTAACACATGTAATCAAAAATATAAAATATTTGTTTTGTACATCTTACATATATAATAAATTTTTTTTACAATACAAAAAAATTTTGTGAAAAGTAAATGTATTAAAGCTAAATATTAAAAAATTTAAATGGAATAAAAATATATTAATCGTGTAAGAGGGGTAAGTTATTTATCAGTTACAGAAATCTCCAATCTCTTCATTGAGATCGTACAGCCCTACGCTCAACAGATCAATAATGGTCCAACACAGCATCCTCCTGCTCGGTGGTAAAGGCTGGACTGAGCGAGGGTGAAAGGGGTAGCAGAGAGAAACCCCTCTAATAGAACCAGGAGGAAGCCAGTAAAGACACAGCGTTTCACAAGGAAACAGTCAAGATCCAATGTCCGTGAAGGGTGCATCAATTGCACGGTGCACATGTGAAAGTGAGTTTCCCAAAGGCGTCATTTTTATTGTTTTTTTTTTTATGGAAAAACGTAAAATTAAATCTCCATCTTTTTATATTTATATCGGATGCGAAATATTGTTTTCACGTACGAGCTCTCGCGAAATTATTATCAATCGACCTTGGAAGGAGAATATTCTGAGAATCGCGAATCACGACTTGAAAATCCGCGATATGTACGATTGTTATTATATTTTGCCTCTCATGGTGTACTCTATATATTACTTTCAGGATACCCACTCCCAGACTGTAATGCGCGGATTTTTACGTGGTGTATTATACTGTGCTCTGTGGTATGGTAGTATAGTAGCAGGCTTCCTATTTATCGCCTGCCCACTCTTGCCGCTGTTGCTGTTGAGCCCACCGAGATTTCGAAAATGCGGAGACCTCCTATTCTCGTGCTGGGAACTTTATCCTACCGTAAGTACCTGCAAATATTGACATATACAGTTTGTATATGTCAATTTAATTAGGAATAAATATATAGACTCGAAACACACTGAATTTTCAAAATTACTTCAAAATCTCTCTTTTTTTTAAATGTATTTAAAGCTCTCTGAAATGTTTGAAAAGATATATCTTTTTTTCTCGCAACACTTTACATTATTATTTCTATCTGTCCTCTATTTTTTATACGTTATAGATGTTTGTTTTGTTTTGACTTTTATTTATTTTAAACGTTCGCGATTAAAAATTCTAAGTCTAAATTAAAAATTCCACAATTAAGAGCGAAAAACATGTTTTGAAACATATATATGTTTCAAAATAAAGATTCAAACATTAGCTGTATAATCGTGCCTGTTACATACATCGCTCTCAATTGTGGAATCTAATTTTATTCTGGAAATTGTAAATATTTCAGGCTCTGTTGAGGGCGTTCGGCGTGAAAATCTATGTGTCTGGCGATCATATATCTCCCCATGAGTCGGCCGTGCTCGTGATGAATCACAGAACGAGGGTGGACTGGAACTTTCTATGGGCGGCGATGTACCAAGCGTGTTTGCCCAGTGTCGGTTGTCATAAGTTGAAATTTATTTTAAAGGATCCCATACGGCACATTCCCGGCCCAGGTAACGTTCCAAACTCGACATATCACGAAGCGTCGATTATTCGACGAAGTTATCACGTTTATGCGCCCTCCAACACATGCCACAGTAACACGTGCGCGTCTGTCTGTTAACAGGATGGATAATGCAAATGAATGGTTTCCTTTATATAACGCGACGCTGGGAGGAGGATCGGGGCCGATTGTCGCGTACGCTCGATTACCTGATCGCGCTGGACAGCCGCACGCAGCTGCTGATATTCCCCGAGGGCACCGATCTGACGGAGAGCAGCAGGGAGAGGTCGGACCGGTACGCCCTGCAGCATCACCTGCCGCGTCACACCTACACCCTCCACCCGAAAACGACCGGCTTCGCGTATCTGGTCCAGCATCTGCGGCGCGCGGACTTCCTCGACGCCGTGTACGATCTGACGATAGCGTATCCGGACTACATACCGCAGTCCGAGGTCGATCTGATCAGGGGTAAGTTCCCGCGGGAGGTGCACTTCCACATAAGGCGAATCGCGTCCGCGGACATACCGACGCACGACGACTCGACCCTGAGGAGGTGGCTGGAGGACAGGTGGTGCGACAAGGAGGCAATACTGAAGGGATTCTACGAGCGGAAGGAGTTTCCCGCCCAGATCTGGCCGATGACGAGGACGCTGCCGTTGCGAGCCGCCTTCGGGTTCTGGAGTATATTAACGGGTAATTAAAGTCTCTTCCCTGTCACTCGCTAGAAATAATAACAGATTGATAAATCTTATTTTTTCAGGGATGGCAATGCTCCTATTCATCGTTTCCCCAATCTTCCAACTGTGGACTCTGTTTCACGCGGTGTTCTTCGTCGGACTGTCGATTCTCAATATGTGCTTCAATCAGATTGAAATTGGGTGGTATTGGCGCTGGAAAAACTACTTCCTTTTGAGCTAAATGTAGTTAATCGAAAATATATTTTCGTTTTGAATGTCACTGGTGCGGAGGGAGGGAGGGAATCGCGTAGCTCTTTGTCTCTGTGATAATATTGTACATAAAATCGTAACGTTAGGAGAAGAGCAGATGTGACTTCAAAAATCTTGTGCAATATCGCAATTTAATGTGATCGTGTTTAGTGATGGGTGTTCCTTCTCTTGAAAGTTTCTCCAAACTGTTCGATCGTATAAAGAGATCTAAATTGCTTCTATATACTATTACATGTTCGAAATGGGAAATTCTTTGAAAGTCTTGAAAAATCTTAAATGTTCTTTGAATTTTTGCCTTTGAAACTGATGAAGATTTTAAATGTCTAAAATATTTGTGCCCTTTATAGAAATATTTGAACTTCACAAAAATTATCGTCTATATTATCGATGGCTAAAATTGCTTTCTTGATATGAAAACAGTGGATTAAAATAATAACATATGGTATTACAACAAAAAAAAAAAGAAAATATATTCGAGACATTCAAAACTTTCAAAACTTTCCGAAATCTTTTGGCTTTCGAAAAAATTCGATGTATTTGGAGTTCATCACTATTTACAGTACAATTGCACTATTTTAATCCCTTTACGTTTATATCTGAATGTTACAGCGTTTTAAAAACGTGATAGCGTATAAGAGATACATAGTTAAGAATATGTAGTACTCTGATATGGAAATCTATTGTTCCGTCTAAATTGGAACCATCAAGTGATATTTTTGTTATCGATTTTGATTTGCAGGAATCAGGTTTGCAATTGAAAATCACTGTCGGAATTAAATATCCCGGTAATCAATTCCTGCTGCAAATATAATCACGTTCTCTTTTTATTAAGACGTGAGGATCGCATTTCTAATCACACAAGCAAACACACATATGTACAAACTTTGGTTTTGTGTTAACATTTATGCTAAAGCGAAAATGCATTTTCTATAACAGATATATTTCATAGAAATGTCTATATTTTAAAATATATATAAATTTTTCAGAGATTTACTAACAGAAAAACGTTCTGAACGAAATATTAATTTTTACTGCAATGAATTTCTAATAAAAGTTAATACAAATAAAAATTGAATTAAGATACATACAAGATGGTCCATTTATCTTTTCTATCTCAAATATCTCCGTTACTTTTAAGAATAGAAAAAAATATTGGAGAAATTATTCAGTTCGAAAGGACGTATATTATGATATATTGGTAGGACATCGATACATATAATATATAATTTTCGATGTTTCGATGTCTTTTTTTGAAATCGTACGATTTATCACTTTACCAAGTGTTACAGCCACAAGAAATTCGGTAATCTAAAATTGATGTCTTTTAAACGAAACTTTGCATTTATTAATTTTAACATTTCCCTTTCAGAAGCAAAAGGTATTTCACCGAAGTCTACCGTCAAATCAGGAATACCTCACGTTACATAAAGTAATGTAATCTATATGATTCAATGGAAGTTTAAAGGAGTACTTACGTCGCATGTAATTCGTATAATTCGTAGTTAGAAAATATTTATTTTTTCTAGTATTCTCGATAAAGCGTAGGTAAACTACCGAGCGACTTCGAGCATAACTAAAAAAAAAAAAAGTGAATTCACGTGCCAAAGAGATGTAAGCAGTCAAAATAGTTTTGTAAGGGTTCGTTCACGCAGTAAGTGTAGCTGTAGAAGGTCTGTATACGACGTGTGCAGAGTAAAACACACATTAGAGACGTACTTTCTTTGTATAATTGTATAACGTACCTGGAATCGTATACTCGGGATATAAAAGGAAAATTACTTATTTGTCTTTTACGTAGCTGGTAACAACAAAGTGTAAGAGTAGAATCATAAATTGATCGTAATAATCTATTCCCGTGTACGTCTTATGGATTGGCAAATTAAGCAAGTAAAGCGTCTAAAATCTGTGTGTATCAAATAAATGTTAATTAGATCGTCGTGATAATATAATGTGAAGTGCGTGTAATGTCTAAAGTTGTTACGCGTCTATGTATTATTGACACACGTAATACACGGAATATTTTATGTAACATATTATTCTGCGTCATGTACAGTGTTTTAAAACTGTATAACGTTACATGTGATGTATCAAGTTATGTATATGTATTCGAGCAGTATAAATCTGTGTATCCTACTCTGATCGTGATGCAAAAACAAAAAAATAAATAAAAGAAACAGAACGCTTCAAAGTGAAAACGAACGAATGTCCACTGATGGTGCTGGAATGAAACTTTTGTTCTATTGCATAATGATTATAGTGTACATATTTATGCTACTGTTTGTGCCATTCGATTCAGCAGTAATGGATTTAAAATAAATGTATAGGGAATGAATTGCGATCCTATTTATTTCATTCAACACAAACATAATTGTTTTCGACATTTCTGTAAAATATTCCCAATAGCAGGGGTTTTTTCACACTGCATTGCATTATTTTACATTCATTTCTCATCAGTTACCTAAAAATTGTCTAGTCTTCTCATCAAGCACAATTTCACAGGAAGATTCAAATTCCATGACGTTTTTGGTGCACTATTTTTTTTGTAAAATGGATTAAGCGGACTTGGTATAGGACACATTTTCAGCACGCTGGCCAACGGTTTTTTATTCGCGTCAAACGGAATACCCGGACTTTTGCGAATTTGTCGACGATACTCGGATGTACATTGCGCTGTATTACGAGAGAGTCCGAAGACCACCTTCTTCTTTTCCATCGGGGAATCGTTTAAATTAGTCTGCTTCTTTACCTGATGTGGTAGTTCCTGCAAGACAATGGGTAGAGATTATATTATACATATAGTATCAATTATAGAGCAAAATATAACATTAAATTGGTACTTACGTTTTGCGCCTCTTGGTGCGTAATCGTGTTTTTCGACTTACTTTTTTTCTTGGCTACATATTTATTGTTGGTTTCTTTTAATGGAATTTTTTTGTTAATGGAATTTTTGTTAATAATTGGCGAAATAGAGGTAGGTTGATCTGTATTATCTTGTACCTCACGGATTTTCTTTTTTATTTTGTGTTTTACATTTTTGTCTGCTATAGACTTTTTACTCTTTTGATTCAATTTGATTTTTGTAGCTTTATTCTTTTTGGAAGTCTCTACTCCTGGCCTTTTCTTGTTCTCGGTAATATCGGATTTAGTGCCAGCTGTATCACACGTTGAATCACTTCTTTTCCGTTTCTTAAATTGTACTGCATTTGCATCTACGTCTTGCAAATCAACCTTTGCTGTTGTGTCGGTCAGTTCGCTTTCCGAGTCAACAGCATCAGATTCTAGGTCTAATTCAGTATCTCCATCCTTCGGATTATTAATAGAAACTTGATCGAAAATCGCTTTTCCGCTCCAATCGCTTTTACCTCTTTTTCGTTTCTTATTCACGTTGTCGGAGAGCAGCTTCTTCTCAAACTGGATGAGGCGCAATGCACCCTTTCGCGAATCCATTTCCTTTCTCTGTCGATTTACTTTGTGGACTCGCTTTATTCCAATCGGCATCCTTCCCTGTGACAATTCCGTAAATCTGAAAATATAAAGAGATTTTTTGTATGACGAATTAGATTAATTTGTAATTTAGATAGATTAACGAAATACATACTCGTGAAGGAGTCTCGAGAGCTGTCTGCGCGACTTTGCCGTCGACGACGGGTGAAATTTATACGTTGAAAGCAACTTGACAATCTTCGCGGCGTTAACAGGTATTTGCGGTAGTTCGACATCCACTTTACCCGCCCTTGGATCTAAAGGCTTCTCGATTTCATTTTGCGTCTCAGCTTCAGGAGAGTCTTTGCCCTCGTTGTCGGAATTTTCTTCTGTGTCGGATATCTCTACTTTTTGCATATCGTCTATATTTGTGCAGGGAAAGCGAGCCTATTTAAAACATACACATTTTTAAATCAACAAATATACGTTGAGTTACGTTACTTCACATGCTTGAGCATAGTTTTGTATTTTACAACAGATACATATGATATATAATTGGTGTCCCACAATCCGCGACCGCGAAATTTTAATGGCTTCTTAAAAATTAATTACTAATTTTGATGATTTCTTAAAAATAAGACGAAAATTCTAATACAAAAATATTGAGACTGCAATAATTTTTAAATCAGTAATACTTAAAGTTTACTAATCACAGAGTTGATATTTTGAGCTTAGGTATGATAGTATGACAAGTGGAATATGTCAATTTCGGTCGCGACTTCAATTTGTCGATTTAGAATATTTTAGATTTCAAAAAAGACATCAAAACATCGAAATATATAGTATATGTACGATTATATAGTATATGTATTGCAAAGATGCCTTATTAATATATATACATCCTTTCGAACTGAATAATTTCTTCCAATATTTTTTTCTATTCTTAAAACGAAGATATTTTAGATAAAAAAGATAAATGGACTATTTTGTATGCGTCTTAATTCAATTTTTATTTGTATCAACTTTTATTAGAAATTCATTGCAATAAAAATTATTATTTCGTTCAAAATGTTACTCTGTTGGTAAATCTCTGAAAGATTTATTTATACTTTAAAATATAGACATTTTCATAAAATGTATTCTTGTTAAAAATGCATTTTGCTTTATGCTTTAGCATAAATGTTAACACAAAACCAAAGTTTGTATACATATATGTATGTGTTTGCTTGTGTGATTAGAAATGTGATCCTCATGTCTTAATAAAAAGAGAATGTAATTGTATTTGCAGCAGGAATTCGCGGATTGTGGGACACTCTATATACTTACAGCTTTCCAAGCTCCGAATTTCTCCATGTAGTCTAAACCGATATCCGATTGGAATATCAAGTTTCTGAAAACGTGCCGCATGATATGTTTTATCTGCCGTTCGTCAACTGTGGACATTAAATACTCAACGAAGGGCTTAAGAAATTCCAGGACTACGTCGTCTGACAGATTTCCATCACTGACCTACAGCGCAACAATATAAATGATTTTTTTTTCAATTAAAAATTGGACAAAATGGTTCAAATTAAAAATTAGCCGAAAATTCTGTCATTCTGCGCGAGTTTCACCTTGGCAAACTCCTCCATATATATCTCCGTCACATGCAAATTAAATCCCAGGCCAGTTTTGGCATGTAAAAAGAGCTCCTTAAACATCTGCGAGATCTCTGTCACCCATTCCATGTTCCATGACTGATTTTTACAGACTACGAACGTTTGACGAAGGATCCTCCTGACCAACTGAGTAAGAAAATAGAAACGATATTATTTTTAAATATTCCAGTGGGTCTCCTGCACGAGTATTTAGAGATGTAAAAAAAACGTTTTTTTTTCTAATAAAAAACATTAGAAAAAAACGTATTTTATTTCATTGAATAAATACAAATTTGGTTTTTTTTTCTAATTCCAATAGCACGACTAATTAACTGTAAATAGTAATTATATAATTATATAATTAATTTTAATGTGATCTACATTTAACTTTTACAAAAGGAGAATCTTTTTAATTCTTTTTCTAAACAGCTTTTACTTAAGTAGAATTTATTATAATTATTCATTGAAGTCATTGCTTCAAAATATATTTTAGAATCAATATATTGGCTTTCTCATTCTGTGCAAAAGTTAAAATGATGATAATTTAAATCTATCTATAAAATAAAAAATCATAAAAAATTAACTTATATTAAGCAAAATATTGCATATTAAGCAAAATATTGATATTAAATAGATAGCTAAAAAAAAACAAAATTTTGAGAAAAAAACGAGGCTTATGTTTTTTTCTTTAAAAAAAAACGTATTTTATGAAAAAAAAAATTTGTTTTTTTTCCTATTTACATCTCTACGTGTAGGTATTACGAGACGTATTCAAATCGTGAAATACCATGGAGAATTTGTCCAGTCTATACTGATCTATGCCGAACCATTCGGCGGCGAGTGTCCCTAGGGCACACTTAACGTAAAGTACAATGGCATCCCTTGACTTCAAGCAGTGCACGAGTTTGCTGAGCGACTCCGCCAGCTCCTCCTGGATCAGCATCTTGTCCGACATCCACATGCAGTAAAAGAGGCCCTTCCACAGGCTCATGAAGTCCGCCTTCGTGAACACTGTAATTAAAAGGAGCGCAGTAGTAACGCGTGCGTCAGATTCCAAGCACACTCTACAAATATATTTATCAATCACATCAATTATGCATTAATAATTGTGGATTGTCCACAAGAGCGACGCGAAGAAAAAAAAAACCGACTTACCAAACGAACTCTCGGATCGTACTTTCAGCCATTTGTTCAGTCTCTTCAGCACCTTATCCCGAACCCTTTTGTCGTTGTTGGCCAATAATCGCGCGATCTTAATTTCTTGGGCGACAACCTGAGCCTTCTTGCTCCTGTCTTTGGATGCGACGGGTCGCGTCGTGTCGCTGAGCTTCGGCGTCCGCGTCTCGTTCTTACGCGGCGTTGACACACGGCCACCGCGGTGTTTCCTCACTGCCATTCTTTACGGTGCAAATTCAGTTTTATAATCAATCAGATCGACTCGACATAGCACTTCTTAATAAAACGCAACGGTATCGAGACTATCGAGCCGTTCTTTTCACGCGAAAAAATGAAATGTCGCACGCACACGATGGTGCATACAACCACGTGCAGCGAGTCCAAAAATATCTAGACTCTAACCTAACGACAGATCTGAGGTCCGAGTGTCTGACGAGGTTATCCAGCCTCGCCGCTATTGGCGCTATTGCTACACTTTCTACACTTCGAATGGAGCTGATGTGCAATTCATGAGCGCGGACCAGGAAAGGAGAAAAGATGAAAAGTGTCAAAGTTCATTTAAGTTCTGCTCTTTATCATTGTCCTACAATCAACATTATACTTTCGAGTCTTTCGGCACAAAGTTTAAAATTCTACATTATTGATACGTGATAAAAAAAAGGCGGGTTTAACAATTGTAACTCAAAATTTTCACAACAAACGACACGTTTAATTAATTATTAAACTAATTGCTGGAATTTAATTGATTTTATTTTGTAGCTAATTTTTATATAAAACATTAACTTATAAAATATTAATATATTAATTTCATAGTAAAAAAAAATCATTGAAGGGAAAGAACAATCGTAGAAAAAGTATTTTATATGTAACGCAACGTTTAATCTTCCTCGATAATTGTTTCCTCGTCTTCATTCAGGGTCTCGTTCGTTTCCTTCGGAATGGATTTAATTATGGCTTCGTAGCAGCGCGCTTCTGCCGTCACCAAGCACCTTCGTCTGCAAATAGACGCACATGTCGAAGTATAGAATAAAATACACAGTCGTACGTATAATGAGGGAGATACGATCGACGGAAATAATTTAAATAAACAATATACTCGGACGCTTACATGTTACTGTGATCATCCCGCGGCTTTCTCACCGGATTCCAGGCAGTCACAGGCTTCTCATTCGTCAGCATCAAGCCACGGATGCAGTACGACAACGCAACTTTACGCAAATTGGGATCCTGTTGTAATAAGAAATATAATAATAATAATAATAATTTTACGTTGACAGAGGTAACGTTTTAATCTCAGACTTACACGCCATTCGGAATTCAGAACATCACCTAGGCTCAATATATCAGACGCAACAGCGGCTTCCTCCAAAGTTCTTATTGTATTCAGATAATTCTCCTGCAGGAATTTGACGAACACCACCGAATGCGATTGAAAGAACGCCGCTATCTCTTCGGGATCGTGATCGAACTTGAAGGAGTCGCCGTGTGGTTTTCCTAAAATTGAACACAAATCGCAATCAGATTCGTGGAAATTTGAAATTGCCGGTCGAAATTTCAAAAAGTTCCAAATTGGAAACACTGGAAGTTCAATTACTTTTCGGATTCGTGACTCTGCCGATGCCGTGTAGCAGACCCAAGGTTTCCTCCCGTATCCCGCACTCGCTTTTCAGGTGTCCCTCAGGCACTAATAACAATCAAATAGAAACAATACAGACGCGTTACTACTTATCGGTTCGGTTATTTGCGTATGTACCTCTGAGAGAGACGAAAATCAGATTCAGAACGGCGCTGCGTACGTCGCCGATGCTGTTGGACAGTATCTCGTCGATGTGTCGCTGTGAGACGTGCAGCATGTCGCCGGCGATGGAATTCAACGTACCGGACACCCGTTTCAACATGTTCTTCATCGCGGTAGGCGTGGCTGCGTTTATACTACACATCGAACAAATCGCAATTAAAATTTCGAGAGAATCGACATTTAATCTCCCCGGGAATTAAGGGGTCAGGCCATCCCTGAGGCCTCAAAATGATACCTAAGTTTCGGATTTTTGTGTGGATAAATAGATAAACTTTATTTAAAAGTTGTTTAAAGGACATTGTTGTATACATATACATATAAGAAACTAAAAAATATTTTTTAATTTTTTTTATGTATAAAATGACAGCGCACTGGTTTACTTACGGAATGCCTTTTTTCTGTATTTTCAAATGTACAGGATTCCAAGCACACAGTTTGCTCTTGAACAAAATACAAAAAATGTTCCTTATCTACATATTCAAGACTACAGAAGTATATAGGGGTTTTTAAAAATATTGATTTTTCTCGAAATGGCAGCTATTTTTACGAAAAATTCGTATTTTTGTCAATACAAGTCTTTCGTGAAATAGCTGCTTTTGAGAAAAAACAATATTTTGAAAAATCCCTACATATTTCTTTAGTCTTTAGTATGTAGATAATGAAAATTCTTTATTTTGTTCAAGGTCAAACAGTGTGCCTGGAATCCTGTATATTGATAGAAAAAAAAAGGGATTCCGCAAGTGTAGGTCAATGCGCCGCTATTTTAGACATAAGAAAAATAAAAAAAATATTTTTTTGGTTTCTTAAATATGTACAGTAATGTCCTCTAAGCAGATTTTAAATAAAGTTATCCATTTACCCACAAAAAAATCCCAAACTTAACTTACTATTATTTAAAACCTCAGAGGTGGCTTGATCCCTTAATACAATTAAAATCGACTCACTTTATCAGGTCAATACCGAACTTCTCCCTTACATCAGGTGAAAATAAAGTGCGCATCAGCTTCGAATTGCCGGTCTCCGTGCAAACGAATATCACGGGTTCTCTTCCTATTTGGAAATATTTTCTAGAGATATTTGCAAAAAGAAAAATATATATACGTAGCAATGATTTGAACAAGGTCTAAACGCTTTGCTACAAAGCGAGGAGATGCTGCTTACTCCACAAGTTCGAAGAAGCTTTTGCAATCCTCCTGATAGACGTTCGGGAGGTCCTTGACGAGGAGCAGTTGTTTGGAACAGTCACCCAACACTGTGTGATAACGCGTCGCACGGATCAGATGATCCTCGAACCTGTCGCCTTGTCGCACCACGCGATCTGAAAGCAATTAAAAATTAAGAATCAAGTTGTACATCACGAAATTCGTCTTACAGCTTTAACATGTTATTTTCTGAAATGTTCCATGTTTATTTCATCTATTTGTAGTTGAATATATTTGTCCATAAAATGCTGTCGCTGTAATATTTTCAAATTTGCAATAATAAGAACGTATTCAGAAGATATATTTAAAGAAACTACATTAAAATATTTGTTATTAATACTGTTATAAGAGATTTTGCAATTATTACTCATATAATTAGATCTCCTACGATCAAATTGTATAATATAATTTACAATATAATACAATATAATAATATACTAATACACAATATTACTTATTCATTATTTTTTATTGCTATCGTTGTATGTAATTTTTGTAACATATATTCTATTGAAAATTAAAAAACCAACGACTGTTACTATTCTCATCCTCAGCCGGATCGACCGGCGTAATCCATTCCACGACATCGAAGTCATTCTCCCTGGCGAGCAATTTTACGGCTGCAGTCTTGCCGCAGCCGGAAGGTCCGGAGAGGATCAGCATGGAGGGCTGTCCCTTCGACTTGTCCTGAAGCCACCTGGAGATCTCGTTCTGCTTCTGCCTGCTGATCGCCAGTTCGGAAGACTTCTGAGGCTCGCAGGCCTGAAGCAGCTTCGACAGGCTCGTTTCATGCTTCTTTCTCTTGAAATCGCTCTGCGTGGACGACCTGTGGAGCGGCGTCCTGTCCGATCTCGCTGTTTTGGCACGCTTCACCAGGGGCTTGTTTACAGGCTCGCAGTCGAATGACGGCACGCACCAAGCGTTGCTTCCCTGCGAGGAAAGAGTTCACGAGCCATTCGAGTAATTAAGCACTCGGGCAATTTTAAGTAAAGAGAATGCTTTTTGAAAAGGACACGAAGAATGTAATCAAAACAAACGTAGCGTTTAGGTTAGGATGAGAAATAAACAAAAATGAGGAGAGAGATTATTCCAATTTCACTCAAATAACTTTAAATTACACTTGTCAGAATATTTTTGATGATCCTTACCTTTGATTCAACCATGGTTTTTCATAAAAATTATCTGTTCCATACTTTTTTTACGCTCTAACTGTCTCACTCTACAAGTTCGAAAGTTCGCCTCGCGCCAGTCACGTGTCTCACTCTTTGCGTATGTATGTACAATCGTGGACACATCGGTTGCGACACTTGCTTTTTTAGATTTCAAAACGCACTAATATTTTGCAAATGCGGATCACGATTGGTGTTATACTGTCTCTAGACTAAAGATAGTACATGATGGTTCGCATTTGCAAAATATTAGCTAGTTATCTATAAAGTATATATTATGTATATTAAATATAGATTAGAAACCTATAAAAAAAAGTGTCGCAACCGATGTGTCCACGACTGTTCACAAAGAGTATATACTTACACGTATTGTATGTATGTACATAAAGCGGCGTCTACATTCTACAATAAGACTTTAAGATTTAAGATTTAAGAAAATTGATCAATCCGATTATCCATCTTGTGAGAAAAATAATCGATTGTGATTAATCAGTTTTCTTAAATTTAAGATTTTTGACAGTAAAAAAAAATTGTAGCTGAGATTCAAAGTGCGGAAATACTCCGTTCAGCCGAAAACAGCGCGTATATATATATACGTACATACTTCAAATTGCTGCGATTTGACGCTTTTTTCCATGTGCTGCGGTTACTGCTG